TTTTAAAGCATTTATCATAAAAGGGCATATCAGGCAGGGGCAGGTAACGTTACTAATTTGTCCATCTTTACAGTAAGATTAAAAATAAATTAATTTTTCCAGAGAATAGATGCTTAGACCAAAATCAAGGACTTCGCTAATTCTTTTCAGATAAAACCATTTATTATACTTGCAAGATAACAGAGATATCTTAGGGCATTTTTCATATCAGTTTTCCTACCTGGTAACTGCTAGCCAAGGATATTATTTCACTAAGAGAGCCTCAACAACCATCAAACAAACCAGAACTCTCTTGCCAGTCCTGCTGCAGGTACACAGTTAGGAAATGTGAGACAGTGCTAAGCTATAACTATCTTTTCCAAAATATAATTTGGGGGGTCAAAACCATAGTGACAGAAAGTGTTGATTTGCCATTAGGAAGCAGAAAGGGAGGATTTAGAGCCAAGTTCTCACACACAGATGCTTTGGATTGATTTTTCCATCCCTACTTTTTCATGAGTTATTTATCCTTGGGTTATTAGATATTTCCCAATAGTTTGTGACATCATAGCCCAACAGGATTATAATCTCCCAAGGACTATGACTTTTGAAGGGGGCTGTAAAGTGAGAAAAGGAGGACAGGTAAATCATTATTACAAAATACAGAGTCAGATTTTCTGATCTTAACATTTCACAATAAACAGAATGCCCACTTAAGTGAAACAGTGTGTAAAACAACATTCAAGGAGCTGAGTTTCTACCTACAGGCAGATAAAACAGGAAGATGATAGCAGCAGCTGAATGGACAACGTACAACACGTTAATATTATAAAAGTGTCAATAACATGCCAACTGAAACAGTACCACCTCCTGAATGGAACACATGATTTGGGTCCTCAGGCATGCAAGTTTCTGTTGAATTTCCATTAGTCAACCTCTCTTCTCTTGTCTTCCCCAGTGTCCTTTCTGCTCTCCTAGATTTAGAACTACAGGAGACCTTGGAAGCCTCTTCATTTTACAGATTAGCAAACTAAGGCCTGATGAGTGACTGTAACTTATCCAAGGTGATATGATTATTTAATGTCAGCATCTGAATACAAACCTGGGTTCTGACTCCAAATTCAGCGCTCTTTCCACTATACCACATTGCCATTCTCTCAGTTCAAAACTCTGAGCTTGTTAAATTTGGAGTCCGACAACCGGGGTTAAAAAAAAATACACACACACACAGAGTTATTTTTATAAAATAGCTGAATTAATAAGAGGGTTCAATTCCTCTGAATTGAAATGTTCCCCCTCCATGAAGTCTTCCATAAAGCCACTAATGATTAACTGTACTGATAGCAATGAGCAACAGATTAAAGACAGAAATAAAAACCCATATGAAAAACACTTAAATCATGCACCATAGGGGCCTTAACTAAGAAGCATCATATATGAAAAGGAAAAGAAGAAAACACAGGCAGACAGCCAGAGCTCACAAACTGACTCAACCTAACCACAAACCAACTCTTCAGAGTGGCTTCCTGAAGACTTGGACTTCAAGGAAGGCTCATTTTGCACTTTCACCTTTGGTCTCCACACCACTATCAGGAGAAGAATATCAAGTTTGTGTTTTTTGGAAAGTCTCATGTTCCAACAGTAAAGTTCTAATGAAGGCAGTGTGGTCTAGTGGATTAGGAATCATAAGACTTGGCTTCAGTCACTAGGTGTGTGACCTTGAAACAAACAAACAAAAATTGTTAGAACCTACTAAGTACTGCTAACTACACCCTGTTAATAAGCACCAAAAGAATGGGGGGGGGAAGGACACAAAAAAAGCATCTGGCCTGAGATTTATTCAGCGTAGGGAACTCATGCATGAGTCCCTTCGTCAAAGCATGTTCAATTCAGTCAAAAAGCATTTATTAAGCATGCATGCTGTGCCAAAGTCTAGGCTAAGGGGATACAGAGAAAGGTGAACAGTCCTTTCCCTCATGAGAGTATGAGGATCTCACATTGCAATGAAATGGAAAACAGGAAAACAAATAAAAAACACAAGGTATATACCAAGTAAACTGGAGGTGATCTCAGAGGGAAGGTGCTAATACTGAGAGGGATCTGAAAAGGCCTCTTACAGATGGGTAGGATTTGAGCTGAGACCTGAAGGGAAGCTAGGAAGAGGATGAAGAGGAAGAGATTCTAGGCATGAGGGGATAACCAGTGAAAAGACAGAGTGGGGTACTCAAGGAACAATAAGGAAGCCAACAAAGGATTGGAGAGTATGAAAGGACTAGAAAAGGTAGGAAAGGAAATGTTACTGACGGGGTATAGGCCCTGGAAACCCTTCCCCTCCCCCCCCTCCAATTCCCCAGAACCTTCCCACAAGGCCCAGGCATTCACCTGAGGCTATAATCCTTTCTGCTGTCCTAGCACTAGGGCTTTGACCCTACCCCAATCTCCAATTCAGTTGCCTCTGACCCAGGTTCAGTTCACGTGGTCTGCACTTGGCCCCACCCTACACCACCAACTCCACCCAGACCCCTTCCAGTTGGCCCAGGTCCCTGGTGTTCACCTGGGGCACCCAATCCTTCTCAGTTACCTCCCAGTCACCCCAGACTACTTGGCCATTCCTAGATTGCATCCAGATCTTCTCACAGTCATTCTGCACATAAGTGTCCATCTTACCCCCATTAAATCACTCAGATTCCTTAAGAGTCTGCCCTGGTTGTATTCTAATTACAAAGGCTCATATTCTTAAAATCTCACCTACCCCAAACGGTGTTTTAATAACCTCATCTCTGGCTGAAAGAAGGCTTGGGTTGAATTCATTTGAGGCAGGACCTGCATCTTTTGCCCTTGAATTTCAGGGTTCCCACCACCCCTAGACTGCAACATGATGAGAGGCTTTAAAAGCCAATATCTACAACTCTAACTTACAGTTTTAGAGAGTTACCTGGAACGCTGAGAGATTAACGATTTAGTAATGGGTGGCACAGCGGGACCCAGGTCTTTCAGTCTCCAAATTTGGCTCTCTAATCACTATATATAATGCTATCTCTCATTAAGGGAGATAAAAAGATTAAATGAGACCTGTTCCTTCCTTTCATAAAGCTCACAGTCTAGTAGAAGTAATTTATCTTTGTTAAAATGAGTACACTGTTGGAATATGTGATTCCTGAGACTACTTTCCATGCTAATATTCTTTGATTCTATAGGATATATCCAATGTCAAGACTCCATTAGAAAGAAGTTCTGTCTTCTTCTGTCTTATTAGGTTTGAAAGAGAAAGCAAGATCCAGATCTAGAGAAAGAACTATGGTGTCTGAATGCAGATCAAAGTATACTATTTTCACTTTTTTTTTTGGTGGCTTTTCCCTTCTGTTCTGTTTCTTCTTTCACAACATGACTAATATGGAAATATGTTTACATGATTGCACATATATAACCCATGCCATCTTGGGGAGGAATGGAAAGGAAGGGTGAAGAAAAAATTTCAAACTCAAAATCTTATAAAAATGAATGTCAAAAACTATCTTTACATGTAATTGGAAAAATAAGATCCTATTTACAAAAAAAAAAAGATAAAGCAAGAAATGAATCTGCAAATATAGTAGTTAATTGCATCTTTTTGAACACTTGGATTTTTAGGCTTAGAGCCATGGCACACCGACAGCCCATACCCACAAAACTAAAACTTCAGTTAAGACTTTTGCCTTGCTCTGAGACTTGAGGGAGGTGGGATTTGAATGTGGAATTACTAGTTCTTCTCATCATAAAAATGAGTGGATTGTACTACATGCTTTCAAAGATACTTTCCAGCTCTCAAAACCTATGATTTGATGATTCTAACTCAGACCCTCTCAACTCCCAAAAAGGAAACTTGCAAGCAACATAACTTAGAAATAAGTATTATCTTCCTTCCTTCTCCCCACTTTAGATAACTCTAACCATTCTACATATATGGGAAAGGGCTTCCTTATAAAAACTGACTGGAATAGGCTGCAGAACACAAAAAGTAGTTTAAAGTTCTCAGTCTAATTTGCTCAATCAAGGTGTATGCACTCTAAATGACAGTATGTAAAAGACTGTATTTTATTGTTAGAGTTATTAAATGCACCATGCAATCTACACTCCAGGAAAGGAAAGTACTACTACATGCTGTCAACGGCATGGACCTCTCGGTCCTCAAGTGCAGCCCTTTGAATCCAAACTACACAGAATCCCCTTAATAAAAGGATTTGTTCCGCAAAACTCAGACTTTGGTCAATAAGCCACACCCAAAGATCTAGAAGGCCTGAAGGCCACAGGTTCCCCACCCCTGCTTTGGACTAAAGAATTATTCTAAGCCACCAAACACCTGACGTGTACTAGCTGTGTGACGCTGGGCAAGTCACTTAACCCCAATTGCAAAAAAAAAAAATTATTCTAAGCCAAAGCCTTGAAGAAAATGAGGCCCAGAGAAGTTTAACTAATTCACTCAAAGTCACAATCAAGTTGGTGGCAGAGTGAGGACTAATTTAGGCCTCCGGTCTCCTAGATAAGTGCAAACCTCTCAAGGACAGAGTCATCACAGTAAATAACTAACAGCACCATCTGTTACTTTCCATGGTTAAAATAACCTTTGAAGACTAGGGTTTAAGTAGGCTCTACCTGTAATATGTGGCATGTTTACCACAATCACTTTTTTTATAAGGACTTCCAAGGGTACACATTAACATTCCCAACTCATAGTTGGTGGAGCTCTGCCTTAACCCCTCATTTCGAGTTCCATCTGGCAGCAGAACACCCTCATGGAACTAAACACAAAACACAACCACTGAGGTTTTTACAAGTAAAATTCTTCAAAACATTATAAAGTTTAATTTACCCTCCTGAACATGGGAGGTTTTCTATTAACTAGGCTTTAGCTCATGTTCAATGTTTCCTTTAAAATGACAATGCATCAATATTCATATGTGAGTTTTTATGTTAAATATTTAATTAAAAACCTGGGAACAGGTATAGTAATGACGAGATATATGGGATAGTAGTAAGCATACTAGATTAGGAGTCAGGAGACAGATCTGGGTCCTTCATCTGCCACCAATCAGATGCATGAGTTGAATCCGCCTCTCACCAACTCACTTTATTCACTTCTGAAAGGAAAAGTAGGTTTAAATAAAGATAATTATAGCAGCTGACATTTAATGATATCCAAAGTCCCTTCCATTTCCAATATTCTAAGTCTAGAGTTTTACTCTGTACTCTGGGGCTATTTGCATACACAATTCACCACAAATTTCTATAGATTTAGAAACATTTTGCTAACCATGAGGGAGTTCAGTGTTATTTATATACTCAAACATGGTTGTCTTTCAACAAGCCCAGTAGAAAAACAGGAAAATGATAAATGTTGGAGAAGATGTGGGAAAACTGGAACACTAATACATTGTTGGTGGAGTTGTGAAATGATCCAACCATTTTGGAGAACAATTTGGAACTATGCCCCAAGGGCTATAAAAATGTGCATACCCTTTGATTCAGCAATAGCACTTCTAGGGCTGTATCCCAAAGAGAGCAAACAAATGGGAAAAGGACCCACATCTACAAAAATATTCATAGCGGCTCTTTTTTGTGGTGGCAAAGAATTGGAAATTGAGAGGATGCCCATCAACTGGGGAATGGCTGAGCAAGTTGTGGTATATGAATGTAATGGAATACTATTGTGCTATAAGAAATGATGAACAGAAAAACCTGGAAAGACTTATATGGTCTGATGCTGAGTAAAGTGAGCAGAACCAAGAGGACTTTGTACACAATAACAGCATGTCATCAATGACTAAGATTGTTAAACTGAACCCTTCTCAGCATTACGAGGATCTAAGACATCTCCAGAGGCCTCGGGATGGAAGATGCCATCCACATCCAAAGAAATAACTATGGAAGTCAAATTGCTATCACTTATTTTTACCTTCTGTTGCGTTTTGTTTCATCTTTCTGATGGTTCCTCCTATTGGTTTTAATTTTTACTTACAACTTCACTAATGTGAAAATGTTTAATGGGTATGTAAATGTGAAGCCTATATCAGATTGCACGCCGTCTTGGGGAGGGTGGGGGGGGAGGAAGTGGGAGAAAAATTTTCAACTCAAAAGTATATGGAAGTGACTGTTGATAAATCAAAACAAATTAATAAAATTTAAAAAAAAACCAAGCCCAGTAGAAGGTTCTGTTAACAAATACTTGTCAAATAGCTACTATAGCACTTTAAAGTTTACAAAATTCTCTTCATATAGTAATTCTGTGAAGTCAGTAATATAAATACTATTATTCTCATTTTACAGATAAGAAACTGAGGCTCATCGAGATAGAAGATCTTGCCTACTATGGCCATGAAACTAATAATGGCCCAAGCTGGGATTCGAACTCGGGTACCCTTACTCTTTCTACTACATCTCAATTTCCTAGACATGCAGCCTAAGTGCCAAGTAACGCTACTTAGCACAGCAAAAGTTTAGATGTAATTTACAAATCTAACTTTGTAATCTCCCTTCAGTCAAGTAAGGCTCACCTTTCACATTTTCAAGTGTAAAATTGGCAAAGCACCTTCTTTGCTTTTTCAGGTGAATGAAAACTTCTACCCACTGAGTTCACTGAGATCAAATGGGAACAGCCCAAACCCCAAAGGAAAGAGTAACATAAGCAGCTCCTTATAGCATTCCTAGAGGCCAGTTTCATTTCCTGGGACTGATCAATGCAAAAGTCTATTCTAAGTCAGAGAAAATTTCACCAGAGAGTTAGCAAACACAAGAGGGACACTCCCATGATCAGACCTTGTACTTCTCTGCAGAAGGCAAGCCAATTGCTGGGTGGGCTGGTTTGGGATAGACCCTATTTGGCAAGATTAGAAAGTCCTTCTACCGAAAAAAGGATAGCAAGAACAAACTCTGGGTCCATCTTTTTGATCTAAGGCTTTTTTATGTCCAGTTCTCATGAGCTGGATGATAGGGGAAAAAATTCTGACTCATTTTTGTGCCACAGCAAATCCTCTTCTATCATAAGAGTTGCCAATGATCATTTTTGCTGAGTGCAAACATATTGAGAGCCTATTTACAACCTGAAGGCTGTTTACCCACCTCAAGCATCAAATAACAAAGTTCTGCCCAAAATACAGAATGAAAGGAGAGTTTAAGGTTCTTCTGCTACAGGATTTTAGTATCTAACAGCACAGCATACCTCCAGAAACTATAACTGTTTCTGTCTGAGAAAATTTTGTTCAGTAACATCCTGTTTCTTGAATGCAGAATGAGCTACTGTCAGATACTTTCATGATAATTTTTGTATTCTTTGAGGGATGGGAGAACCAGGCTATAATGAAACAGTATATATAATAGGTAGCCTCCAAATGTCAGATCTGAGAAATGTATCCATTCTAGCTATACTTGCAGTACTTTCTCTTGCTTAGCTGCGGCAGCACAATACGACATTTATTGCAGAGATTCAAGTATAGCAAAGTCCAGTTCTGATGACAGAGCTACAGATGGCTTGGTGATTTTAAGACACCTCCTACCCTCCCCCAACGAGGACTACTAGGAAAACTATAGACTTCTATCTTTTGGAAAGAGAAAGTTGACAAGGCATTTCCAGTTTCTCCACCACACAATAAAAGGAAAAAAAAAAAGAAAATTACAATGAAGATATGTGATGGTACCAAGCTTCTTCAAACCCAAGATTTTCAGGTGATACTGTTTTCTCTAACTCCTCAAATTTTTCAGATTAAAACTAAAGATTCTTTTGTCTCAGAGTTTTATACCAATCCCCACTCCCTTCTCCCCCACCCCCCACGTGCATGCCATGCACACACATTCTGGATGACTCAGAAACCAACTTGGGCAACAATGGATCACTTGGCTTGAATCAGGGCCAGAACTACAGTGATGGCAGCCTTAGTTTCTGGGAGCAAAAGTTTTGGAATCTATGTGAAACTGGCTGGTAGATCACAAGCCACAGCTTTCCACAATCCCAATGTAGCACAACAAATGTCATGGAGCAGCCCCCCCCCCAATTTGATACTACATTCATCCCAGGACCACTGCTGACGTGGGATGGGTAAACTGGCTGGCCAGCATCTCACGGAATAACACGGGATGCTAGAGGAAAAAAGAGATTTTCCACTATTATGTATGCATCTGTCTGCATCCTCACTGTGAATGAATGAACTTTTGTTCCTTTAACTAGCACTAGCAAAGTGGATAGAGCACCAGCCTTGGAGTCAGGAGGACCTAAATTCAAATCCAGCCTCAGACCAAATGCTTGACACTTACTAGCTGTGTGACACTGGGCAATTCACTTAACCCCAACTGCCTCACCAAAAAGCCAAAAACAAAAAATACACACAAAAAAACTAACACTAAAATGTATAGATTATCAGACTGATGTTGGCAAGGCCTTTCAAAGTAAAAAAGAATACTCCTTTCTTCCCCAACCATCACTTTTCTGTTACTTAATTCTTAATGACAGAACACTGCATTTTTTTTTGCAAGTGGGTCCAGACCTGTGACACCCTAAGTGTGGGGAACACTCAGTATAGAAACTGTCTACCAATTTAAATCAGCAACTCTTCCTAAATTTAGAGTCTTAGAGAATTACTTGGGGCACTGAAAGAGTACAGAATTCCCACCCCTCATCTTCCTAATTCCAAGGCACTATATTCTTTTTCCAAGCTGCCTCTCTGTTTATGCTGTACTATACTATTCTATAACAAATGATTAAAACTATAGCTTTACCAGAAGAAAAGATACATCCAATAATAATATCACCATTATTAATAAAAAATATTTCTTCCTTATAATAAAAATAATAATCTCAAAATCTAATTGCAAGTTTGGGGCTAATGAGAACCTCTGCAGGAAACCACATGCAAATAAGCGAAGGAAAATGGTTCCACATTAAAATTATGCCAACACTGGAGACTAGTGAACCTGCTGATATTTAAGGCTACAAGTGAGCTATGACTGTCCAATCATCAGCTTCTCAACAGATTCTCTTGAAATTGTGGGAGAACTGGAGAGGAAGACAAAGCATCCTTCTCTGGGCCTACTTCACTGCCCCAAGTAGTTTTGCCTTGGAAACTGCCTCCCTTTTTTTTCCCCAATTCTGTCACTAGAATGAGGAAGTTTATATGCAAACAGTATTTAAAGAAAAGAATGTTTTGAGGGTTGACAGAAGATATGATCTGCAAACTGATGGAATGTCCTTTATACCCTAGGAAGTAGGTGGACAGGAAAAGGGAAGAAGCAATCAAACAGAAGGAGCCAGAAAGTGTGTTTTTTCCTTGAGGGGAGTGTGGATGTGACAGGTAGAACAATTATCAGTGCCTAGAACCAGAAAAGACTACCCTTTACTCTTATGACCGTTGAATGAAATTCTTTCCTGTAAGTATTACCCTGAACTCCGGAAAAAGGGCTGTGTATCACAAGAAGCCCTAAAAACTTCTCTAACAGGGGAGGTAGCCCTGCCAGAGAATGTACCAAGCCTACCAGGAAATAGGAAGAAGGCATTAAAGCTGTGTTAGTCTGAGTGCTGTATCATTTTAATCCAGCTTTCCTCCTCAATCTGAACTGTCTCTCCATCTGCTCTCTCTCACTACTCACCAACTTCCTTCATGGAAAAAAATAAACCCCACAAAGTCACAAAACTTCCTCCAAGCAAGACACTGAAAAGCTAAGGCCTCAACTGTAAAGCCCAGATGATAGCTCCCCAGGACAACTTCTTGGGTGCTTCTTGTAGGAACTGAAAATGTGGGAGGGCAGAGAGGCCTGCCCACTCTTTTGAACGATTCTGCCCACAATGAAAACTTACAAACTGGATGCATTTTTAAAAAATTAAATTATTTTTATGAGTCATTTCCAAGGTATCTGCAGAGCTTTCTGTCCATTCTGTCCAGCTGTACACAGCAAAAAAACCCAAACAAACCCATATGGCATACCTAATATATCATTTAGTAAATGAACACTGACAGAGCAGTAGGAAAGAAATCAGATAAACTGATCCATAGATCTCAATCATAGAAGAGAGGTGTGCAGATAACAGAAGAGTCAAGGAATGACAAAGGCCATATATGTGGTCCGAGGTGCTACTAAAAGGCTATAATAGGAGATATGGGGGGATTTTACCAAAGAGGAAAGTGAGTTTGAAAATAGAACCATAATCTATCAAAGACACTTATCAAGAACTGGAAGAAACAAAGATGGAAGTGAAATAGTTCCCTACCATCAAGAAGCTTATATTGCATACTGAGAGACAAAATACAAGGTGTATATATATATAGAAATACACTAAAAATATACAAAGTCATGCAAGAAGAGGAACTAGCAGCCACATGGGAGGGAGAGGGAAATCTGGAAAAGCCTCATGCTAGCCTAAAGCCTCTTCTTTTACTTGAGGGATAAAAGTAATTCTCCAGTTCTGTAACGGTTCAATAGATTCAAAGATCCAAAAAGTCATTTGAAATTTTTTCAACCAGACCCTGGCCTGTGGTGGGATCTGGGAATTCTAGAACAGGTAGATGAGCATCTTTGCACTATACACATATGCAGGGTGTCCTAAAAGTCTTAATGCAGTTTAAGACCTTTTGGGATACGTGTATGCAGTTTTTTTTAATAGCACTTTTATATGTAAAGAAAGTTTTTCAACATTCACTTTTATAAGATTTGAGTTCCAAAATTTTTTCTCTTGCCCTCCTTCCCCTCTGCCCTCCCCAAGATGGCAAGCAATCTGATATAGGTTGTGTATGCAGTTTTTAGTCCAACAAGAGAACGGAAAACAATTATTAAATGTAGAAAGACACTTCCCCTCAGCAGAAAACCAAAGGCCTTTAACCTCCTGTGAGCAATGGTTCTTAAGCTCAGCTGTAGCAACTAGAGAAAAACAACACATCAACTTTTCCAAAAGGGGCTTCAAAGTGAAGTTTCCTGCAAGCATTCCCTGAAATGCTTGCATTCTCTATTAAACTTGCCCTTGACTTCTGGTTCCACAGCATACTTCCACTTGGTATTCGCCTATTCACAGGTTTGGGGTTTTTTTTTCCTTTTTCTTTTCTCAATTTCAGACACTGGCCAGCCACCCTTCGAAGGGAAGCCCAACTGTACCCATTCATATCTAGAACTGCTAAAAACCAAGATTTTTTTTTTCTCTCTTGAGAGTCTGAAAAAACAGGAAGTGGTTTCATCGAGCCTCTTACCACGATAATAAAAAAGTTTTCGAGACTGAAACCTAAGTGAGATATTGTCAGTTTCCTCCTACCATTACAAGGTTTCCTCAGGAAATCCTCTGTACAATTAAATCAAACTGCTTGCAACGACAGACTAAAACTGAAGCACGACCTAAAACGTATTAATCAGGTCAATACTGGGGGGGAACGAGACGAAAAGGCTTCTCCAACCTATCCTTACATAGGAGGCAAGAAGCAGCTTTCGTTTTCCCGTGTCTAACTTGGAGGAGCCTGAGAAGCCCGAGTCACTAAGTCTCAGTTCAAACCCCAAACTATTAGTTTGTGAGATCTTGTGGGCTGGAACTGCCTTTTGTTTGGTTTTGTTTTGCCTTCCGCGGTAGTCCCAGAGCTTGAGCCTGGCACACAGTAGGTGCTTAAGAAATGCTTGCAGACTTCAGAACTCTCCCCCCCTTCTCTCCCCACCCCCTCCCCTTGCAGAGCTATGGTCCCCAGGTCGTGTGTGTGTGTGTGTGTGTGTGTGATGCCCGGCTCTTGAACTATGCAGCGGGCTGCCCCCACTCCGCGGGAACCTCACTTGTCAATTTCGCAGCCCCGGGCCCGACAGTTCCCAGGACTTCCTCGGCCCCGAGTCGAATCCCCCCCACCCCCCATCCCAAGCAGTGACAGCTGAGACAGAGCCTGCGGAGGAGACGGGAGCCAAGTTCTCCCACCCACCTGCCTCCTGCTCCCCGGGGTAATGTGCACCCAGCGCCTCCGGGGATGGGCCTCCTCGGGCTGCGCTGACCCGGCACTGGACGCTCCCCGGGGACAGGCGGGGATGCGAAGGAGGAGACGCCGCCGCCTCCGGCTGCTCCCGGGGCGCTTAAGGGACACAAAGCCCCCCTCCCCCAGGTCCCCATCATCTCGGGTTTCCCTTCCCGGCAGTGACAACTCACCCTGGAGCAACCGGGCAAAGAGCAGGAGCGGCGCCCTCCGGCCAGACGTCGGCTGGTCCAGGCTGCCCGTCTGCCCGCCCGCCCGCCGCACCTCCGCGGCCCCGCAGCCCAGTCTCAGCCGCCAGGCCCCGCGTGCCCTTGTCCGTCCGCCTCGCGCAGGCAGTAGCTGCGGGCAGGAGAAGGAGGGGCGGGAGCGCGAGGGGGAGGGGGAGGGGAGCTGAGCTCGTCGCAGGGTTCGGAGAAAGGAAGGCGGCGGAGGCGACCGCGTCACCGCCCCAGCTGAGCACTACTGGGCGGGGGGCGGGGAAGAGGCTTCCTCGAGAAAAGCCGGGAGGGCGGGGTCGGGAGCCGGGAGCGGAGGAGTGGAGGAGGACCGGCACAGGGGGTGGGGACGATTGCTGCGCGAAGTGAAGAAGGAAGGCAGAGCGGGGGGCGGGGCACCACAAGGGACGTAACAACTGCAAAACGCTGGGGCTCCGGCGACCAACCAGCGCAAGGCTCCGGCTCCGGCTCCGGCTCCGGCTCCGCCGCGCCGCCGCCTGCACGCACGAGCCTCGGAAGTCGCACACGCTGTCAGAAGGGGGCGGGGCCCAGGGGCCCGAGCCCTCGCTGGACGAAGCAGCTGGGGCTGGGTGAAACAATTAAACGTTACTGACGTGTACACTAAACCTTACAGCTGTTTGCGTCTTAAAAACAAATCGCCTCATATGCAGTGATCCTTTTGCTGCCGTCACTTCTTTTAGCACTGAGTTCACGAGATTTTGACACATTTCTAATTCTTCATCATGAAAACATGTTTTTATCACATTGTATATTAAGTGCATTTGACAAGCATTCCATTTTTCCAGATATACCCTTAATAACAATAACTAGCATATATGTATATGAACATAGGTATTTATACATATTAAATCTCTCATTAAGTATATAAATGTATATTTCTATATATACTATATCTATGTTACCAAATATATAAATATGTATCAGTATCTGTCTATAATAGTAGCATATCTAGATTCTGTAGAATTTAGGGTCCCTACCGTGCCCTCCCTAGATAGATGATGCTTCACATCGGAGAGCTTCACAAATATCTCATTTTATCCTAACACACTAGGTAGATGCTATTATTATCCCCATTTTACAGATAAGGAAACTCAAGAAAATAGCAGTTAAGGGACACCCAGATGACTCAGATAGTAAGTGTCTGAGGTGAAATTTGAACTTAAGTCTTCTGGATTATAAGGTCCAACACCATCCATGGAGTCACCTTAGATTATAACTTTGATTACATATAGTCCATAAATTTTCTACATATTTTAAATCAGGCTAATTTCCAAGCTTTTGAAGAATTTTTGTCTTGATCTCTTGAATAAGTTTTGTCATCTTTCTTGATGTGTGGCCTGGCACAAGATTATATAGCTATATTCCATTTCCATTCGGGAATTTAATTCCAGAACAATTCTACTTCTCAGTGTACAAATATATTTATTACAGTTCATTATCCCCTCAATTGAGACAAGATGTCAAGGAAGTAAAAAATATCCAAAGTATTTTGGGGGTAGAGAATGGATGTTTTCAGTCTGATGAAGATCCCTGGATCTTACAGACTCACGTGGACTTTTGATAATAGTTTTTAGAGCCTTAAATGAAAAAGCAAGTTTTATCAGTAAAATTTATTTACTAGTCTTCTCACTGTTTTTCCAACTTCAAGACGCTTATGATATGCTATAGAAAAAAAAAACCAGCAACAACCCTTCCTGCTGCCCAAATCTGAAGATTTATTAGGATATTTTGTAACAGTAGTTTGACAGCTTTTATTGTTTCTTATTTTGGGCCATGTTTAATGCTCTGTCTTGGTTTAACTAATGATGTTTCATTGCGGGCTTGAATGATTCTTGAAATGGTATATACTTCCTCCCACCAACAATCACAATATCTCTAAGAGTCACTGAAATGTGATCTTTAACAAGTCCAACTTTCGCATGTTTCCTTAGAATAAGAACCATTCTTTTAAAACATAATTTTTTTTTAAAAAAGACAACAGAGAACAATGAATTACCTATGCATGATATGATATCCAGCACAACTGACAGAGAAGTAAGGAAAGGTGGGAAACCTGTTGGACTGCTCTGGTCAAGGTCAGATGTTCTGAGTCAGTCTACTGTCAGAAATAGCATAAACAATGTCCACTGCTGTCATAAAATGAAATAATCTCAAAACTACTCCTTGTGCCAAGGCAATTTGCATACCTATATATCTTCCAAACTCCTGTGAAGAACTTGAACATCCTTGCTTCCTTAATCATTTCATCCCTCAAATACAGAGAATTAAACCTGCAGGTTTATCTCACAAAAACTATTTATTACTCAGTGTTCATATCTCATTTTTTATTTTGGGAAATATTTGGTAATGTTATTTCCAAGTCTATTTCATTCAACAAACAGGTATTAAGTGTCTCCAAATTTCAAAAACAATGCTAGGTGCTATAGGAAGCTTGAAACAAGGCATTGTAGCCCTAGATTTCAAATGAGGAAAAAGATGTACAGAGGAGTTAATAATAATTCAGATTCATATATGCAATCTCGTTCCCACCAATGCTGAGGGATGGGGAGAAGGACACTCTGATGTACATGGCTATGTACTTTGACGAAGACATGACTCCAAATGGTGGAAAGAATGATGACCTGTCGCTTCAGACCTATGTAAGGGGGAGAGTTGGTACCATAACTTTTTTGGGGAGAGGCATGTTTCAACATGGACCCTCTTTGGGAGAGACACATAGAAATATCTTGGAAGTTGCAGACATGTTGACAAACTAGCTTTCCATCTTTTTAGCACTAACATTTTTTCCCAGTGACTCTGTATAACCATGAATCACGGACATCACAATCTCCAAAGAATCAAATTAGAGATGACCCAAAGAACATTAGGCAGTCTATGATGGATATAAATAGACTACAATCTATTACCATCAATGGCTTGTACAAAGAATGTGACATAAAAGATATCATCTAGAAGATATAAAACAAGAAAAGGAAGAAGGCTGGGTTATTTAGTGAGATATAGGGATAACAGGTACGCAGGTCAAGCCCTCTACTGGTATACACTTGATGTTAAATGACTTAGTGGGAGGTCAATTGAGTAAATCCTATATGGAGGGTTTGTGGGAGAAGGACAATAGTTGTTTAGGATGAGAAGATTTGGATGGATTGGGATTTGTGTAGATAGGATCACAAAGCCATTTGATATATCAACATAGTGAAGCAATGAAGTAGTTAAATGATTTAGGGTAAAATGTAAATATTGCTGTTGCTTAAGACAACAGATTAAAAAATAATAACAACTTGTACTTGAAACACACTTGATATTTTTAAAACATTAACTCACATTTATATAGCCTTTTAAGGATTAGAAAGAGGTTTCCTCACCATAACCTTGTGAGAAGGCTAGCTCCTCAAATTATTCCCATTTTGGAGATGAAGAAACAGAGGCTTAGCTGTAATATCTTTCATATGTATTATGTCACTTGATTCTCACTACAATTCTGTGAAAGAAATGGCATCAGCATCCCCATTTCATGAATGAAGAAACTTCAACTAGGAAAATTAAGTGATTTGCCCATGATCACCCAGCAGCAACTATTCTATTTATCTGAAGCCCACTGTGGGTTTTAGAGTAGGGAAGAGAGGCAAGGGATAGGTAGAAGAGGTTGACTGCTTTTTAGCTTCAAGAATAAGAATCCCCTAGTAAAGGATGAACAGGTTAGTCAGGGATAGGATGTCTTCCAGCTCACTTGCTCGAGCCCCATCCCCTATGCAAGTTTCGCTTTGGCCATCTGTGACTTGATTCAGCATCCAGGAATGTTCCTTTAGGTAAAAGGCAAGATAAAAATTAGCCCTGGTAAACCAATAACTCTAAGGTCTGGGTTCTCAGATAGTGCCATGCATAAGTGTTCTAGGGTCTAGGGTCTTTTCTGGCTTGGGGCCTTCAGGTAATGAACTGTGGACTTATTGGACACCAGTCCAGTTAGGGACCTTACAAACTTACATAATCTAGACACCCTACTTGTAAATGGTGTATATAATCTTTGTCTAACATGGCGATTTGCCTGTAATGGGCACTTAATAAATGTTTGTTGACTTGTGAGCAGTCATTATGAAGACGCTGCTTTTCTTTAGTGCCCTTCATATATCATTAACAGGTTCCTTACAATTGTTTTTATGAATCATTCTCGACAATAACTTTGGTGAGGTAAATGAGTAGTGAGGGTGGGGAGAGGATTGGGAGAGACACTTTTTAAGTGCCTACTATGTGACAGGCACTGTGCTAAGGGCTTTACAATTATTATCTTATCTGATCCTCACAACAACCCTGGGAGGTAGATGCTATTATTATCCCCATGTTACAGTTAAGGAAACTGAAGCAAACAGAGCTTAAGTGACTTGCCCAGGGTTATACAGCTAGTAAGTATCTGAGGGCTGGATTTGAACTCAGATCTTCCTGACTCTAGGCCTAATGCTCCAGCCGCTGTGTTACCAGCTGCACCACTAGCAGACCTATTTTATACACAAAGAAGCTAAGAAAGGACAGCATTCACAAGTTTACAGTATATCAACTGTGTAGTTAAGATAAGAATCCTGGGGGGTGTCTGGGTAGAGAATATGAGTCAGGTGGCAGAAGAATTATTATTTCCATTTTATAGATGAAAAAATTGAGGCTCAGAGAAATGAAGCAATAGGACCTTTTTCTATTACATTTCAGTCAAAGTGAATACCCTGCTTCTTTTTCTCTGTCTTTTTCTCTTCTTTCACTAAAGTCTAAGCAATGGACTTGGAAAGATGCAACCGGGAAGGGGAGAAGATGGCTCCCTCTGGCTGATGCTGTGAAAGCCCCAAAGGCTCTTCTAAAATAACTACTCCAGAAGATGCTCTCCTCTCAATCCTTCCTCTTCCTCTTTCCCTTTCCTCATCAATTAACAAGCATTTATTAAGCTCCTACTCTGCCCAAGCATTGTATGAGGCACTGAAGATAGAAACTGAAAAAAAAAAAAGATGAAGTAC